AGTTCTCAGAGAGAACTGATAATAGTGTAGCACAGGCAGAGAGCACAGGAATCAGCTCACTGGATTTCTGGCAGGTATTTTTTGGAACAGATATAACAAAACGCTTATATAACAGATCAAAAGGGGGGCAAATAAGGGAATTTGGGGCTTACAGACCCCTTAGCTTATCTTTTTTTAACAAAATTGAAGAGAACCTGACATTAAAATTCACACTGCCGACAGCGCGTCCTGAGGTGGGGGCGACACCCGGTGCTGGTACCGGGTGACACCCCGCTATGATGTCATCGTGCATGAGCGTGATGATGTCACGTCTGGTACCGCTGTTACCCGCTAGCAGCCGTCTTGGTAATGGACGTCTGCAGAGAGAGGAGGAGACGTCACCCGGCGGAATAAGGTATGGCAACGGGTCCCCTCCTCTCTCCTGACACTGTTGGGCTCTCGGTCCTCGACCGAGTGCCCGACTTTTCAGAGGGGGGTGACACAGCACTCCCCTTGTGACGCCACTGACTGTAGACCACATCAGCATTACCAAAATACAGAAATACCCCAACTTCCAAGTCGGGGCAGCCTAGGTCACATGGCCTATGACTGCCAATCGCTGGTGAAGACAGTGTATTGTGTCCAATCAGGAGTGGGAGAAAATTATAAAAATGGCGGCCCCCATATATATATATTATTGCAAGATGTACATAAAACCCAGTGAGGGGGATTTATCAAAACTGGAGCAGCTGTGCATGGCGACCAATCAGCTTCTCTCTTCAGTTTGTTCAGTTAAGATTTGAAAAAGAAAGAGCAAAGCTGATTGGTTGCCATGCACAGCTGATAAATCCCCCTTTTTTGGAGAAATGACCTGAGAGATGACATGTACTTTACCCAATCCCGGACCAGAGTGTCCCAGACCAGACCATCCAAAATCCGCTTCATAACACAGACAAGTTTCTGATCCTCTCAAAAAAAAAATAAACCTTTAAAATGATTTGATGTGTATTTATCCTATAATACGGAGAAGAGTATCTGGTGTCACATCAACAATGACCCCGTTTCATGTTTGGTTACATTGCAGAGAATGGAATGAGATCTGGTGGTCATGATGGCCAAATCTGGAAAAGATAACAATGTTATGTGTGTGGAATGCTAATAAATGGGTCGGGTGTAATAAAGAATAACAAAAAATATTCCACTTCAGCAGAATTGGAGCTGCACCTCAAAAGAAACACAATTGTTTTCTATATAAACTTCGAGCTATTTATGTTCTCATAATCACGGGGTATGTTTCACATTATGACTAATATTGTTATATAAGTACTCCGTCCCTTTCCATGTAATCTTTCCTAACTCACCTCTCCTTTTCCCTCCCCCTCTACTCCTCTCCTCTAATTTTCCCTTCGCTCCTCCACTCTCATCTATCCTCCTCCCCACTTCTCCTCTCCTCACCTTTCCTCTTCTCCTCTGTCCTCCCCTCTCCACTCTAATCCTCTCCCTACTTCTCAGCACCCAACTCCCCTCCTCTTCTCGCTGCTCCTCTACCCTCTTCTCTCTTCTTTCCTTTCTTTTTATCTCCTCCTCTCTCCTCTTTTCCACCTTTCTCTCCTCTCCCCTGTTCTTACCCCTTCCCCCCCCCCTCCCCTCCTCCTCCCCCCCCTCATCCCACGGCCCACTCATCCTTCCCCCTCCCCTTCTCTCCTCTACTTACCTCCTGCCCTCATCTCTCTCCTATCAATCGCCCCCCCACTCCGTCATCAGTTTTCCTCAACACTCCTCTCTCCTTTTCTCTCCTCTCATCTCCACTTCCTTTCCCCTCCACTCCTATTCTCCCCCACTCCTCTTTTGATTGCTTTCCTCCATTTCCTTTTTTTTCTACCCTTCCCTTTTCGTTTCCTCCCTTTTGCATTTCTTTCTTCCCTTCTTTTTTCTTTCCTCCATTTCTTTTTCTGTCTTGCCTGTTCTTTTCCTATCCTCCATTTCCTTTTTTTCTTTCTTTCTTCCCTTCCTTTTTCTTTTCCTATCCTCCATTTCCTTTTTTTCTTCCCTTCCTTTTTCTTTTCCTATCCTCTATTTCATAGTTACATAGTTACATAGTATTTGAGGTTGAATAACGACATTAGTCCATCAAGTCCAACCTATTAGGATCTCATTCTAGGAGTACCTGTACCCCTGTATATTACGGTCCCTTAAGAAATCGTCCAAAAGTTTCTTGAACAATTCCACATTATTTGCTGAAATCACCGCCTGTGGCAGTGAGTTCCAGACCCTAACTGATCTTACTGTGAAGAACCCCCTTCGCCCCTTGTGCTGGAATTTTTTTTCCACCAATTTTAGGTGATGGCCTCTAGTTTTTGTAACCTTTGTTTCTTTCTTTCTTCCCTTCCTTTTTCTTTCCTCCATTTCTTTTTCTTTCTTCCCTTCCCTTTTCTTTCTTTTCCTTTCCTCCTTTCTTCTTCCCCTGCCCTTTTCTTGCCTTACCTCTTTCCTTTCCCTATCACTTTCCTTTCCTCCCCCTCACTTCCTTTTTCTTTCTTTTCCTTCCCAGTTTATAATCTCACAGAGGGAAAGCTTTACATTTCCACAAACATCTTCAGAATGGATGAAATAAATGAATTTTCCAGATGCCATTGTGTAACTATGTTGCCTGGTTGATCATTGCACACCCTGATATATGTATGCTGGGCACAGTCCTGCTAGTCCTGTATGGTCCCTAGCACCGGTCTGGCAGGGTCATGTGTGTTGTGTGTAGGTAGTAATTATAATGATGTATTACAGAGGAACAGGTGAGTCAGAAGCATCTTTTGTAGGTTAGGTGGGTGAGGGAGATGCTATGTGATAATAAACCCCATGGCTGACCACACCTCTGTTACCTTGGAATAGGTGGAGCCTCGGGACTGACAAATATCTCAGAACTTTCCCAGAGGTGAGGACTTGTTGGTCTTCATCCCTGGAGAGGATACGACATACAACAGCCGGAGAGTGGAGGCTCCAGCCACAGCAAAGCAGCTGGTAAGAAAGATATAACCAGCTCAGACATGAGATTTTAAAGGGATCCTGTGAGGATGGACATATGGAAGTGGCCGTGCTGACTTATTTTAAAGGTGAAGGTTCCACAGTTGTCATTCTGACCCTGGCTTGACTGCCTTGGCCCTATTGAAGAGTATCCCCCGTACAACATAGGGCCAATAGTTAGGGGGTCAGGAGTGTGTTACATACAACATAGCATAGAGTGCAGTGCTCAGGAATATGGTATCCTAGTGTCTCATATATTATTATTATTTACAGTATTTGTTATTATTATTATTGTTGTTGTTATTATTATTTACCGTATTTATTATTATTATTATTTACAGTATTTGTTACTATTAATATTTACAGTATTTTATTATTATTATTATTTACAGTATTTGTTATTAATATTTACAGTATTTATTATTATTATTATGATAATACAGGATTTATAGTGTGCCGTCAGTTCCAGCAGCACTATAATAAAAGCAGGCAGTACAGTTACCATACATTTCAATACAGGAGGGTTAGGAGGGCCCCGCTCATGAGAGCTTACAATCTAGTATATTGGTGGTCAGTGGGAGACAGTCAGTTATCTAGAACAAGCATGCAGCCAGTGAAGTGTGAATTGTTCCAGGTCAGCGATATGCAAGCAGTGAATCCAGGATTAGAACAGCAGCTTCTAGAAAATCCTGGAAAAAAACAGATTCCATATCTCTTTCTTCAAAGTGTATGTCCAGACACCATTGTTGTCAGAAGGTGGGTGCGGGGGGGGGGGGGGGACCGGCGGCATACCTCATCCCGCCGGGTGAACCTCCCCTCCTCTCTCTGCTGGCTTCCATCACCAAGATGGCTGCCGGCAGGCGTCAATTCGACGCATGCGCGATGATGTGATCTCCGCTCTGGGTATCACCTGGCCTCGGGACGCCCCTGCCAGACACTACCCTCATTTACCCCAAACCTCCCTTTTCGCCCCCTTATAGATTATGTCAGAGCATTGTTTCTGTCTTTTATTTTGTCCCTGAATGTATTACTCTCTGTGACATCATCACCAGACTTGTACAATTCTTGCAGGGGAAGCTGCCGGGAGGTCAGCTCCTATTGACGTAGGTACACGCCTAGAACTACATCTCCCAAGAGCCCTTTCCTTAGGCACAGTGTGTGGACAGGTTTTAGGGCAGGTTAACACCTTTTTACGGACCAGATCTGGTGTGAACTTGCCCGCAGTTCCAGTGCATTCCAGACCAGACAAAATGAGACGAGCAGTATTTTTCTGGTCTGGAACGGACTGCGCTGGTGTGAACAGAGGCCAGAAAGAGCATAGGGATACGTTAGGGTGCATTTTGGATCCAGAAACAATCTAGTCTGGTCTGGAGGTAATCTGGATGTGGTGTGAATGGGCCCTGAGGGAGTCAAGAAAGCAGGGAAAGAAATCAATACATGCATGTGCAGAGGAAGTTATCAGCTCATGTGCACAGGACGTTATCAGCTCATGTGCACAGGACGTTATCAGCTCATGTGCAGAGGAATTTATCAGCTCATGTGCACATGAAGTTATCAGCTCACCAGATTTCTGACGGGATCAACAGATATTTTTTGCATATATTAAACAGATATGACAAAACACTTCCAATGGTGTATTTAATAGACCAAAAGGGAGGAAATAAGAGAAGGTCATTGTTCGGGTTTTACATACACTTTTATATCTGCTCTCTGATTACAATTCCACTCATACCTTATTGTATCAAATATTACATTGTGTCTTCTGCATTAGGCAACCTCTGATAATGAGATGTGAGGGAGCCTCTTGTGAAAGATTGCAGTGATATGATGTGTTTGAAGTGCGAGCACTTCAAGGACTGCGCCTTAGGATGATATATTTGATCTGTGTTGTTATTTAGACTGCTGTCAGAAACCCTCCTCCTGAGGAACCACCGAGATAAGGTCTATTAGCCTCCCAGAGAATCAGAGCCTGACTGATAGAGGGATCGTGGAACTGTATAACGCAATCACTGTGCAGCAATACAAAGAAGGTCACGCAGCCTGCATATTGAATGAGCAATTACGTCTGCTGCCCGAATACACAGATTGACAAACTATGTACAGAAGTAAAGTGAATGAAAACATTAGCACTCACTGAGATGATTATGTAAAGTGAATGCAAGGGCAAGCTTTTGTTTTTTTGGCTCTAGATGGGGTAGTGAAGGGTTTTTATTATTGTTTATGGGCCTGCTAGGTGAGATTCACCCTTCCAATTTGCCTTGGTGACCAATGTCTGTTAAACAGGGAGTGATGGAACATCCAAAAACTTAGAGCTGTCACCAGAACAAGAGCTGAGGGGAAATCTGCCAACAGGGACACTTGTTCCGGTGACAACTGTCTAAGAGCTTGTTCGCTCCATATACAGTGTGTTCCAGTACGACTCACTGCTGGAACGCACTGTATCGCATCCTGGCCAGCTCCATGCATTCTGGGGCGGGAGGGGGTGTGCCAGTGCATTGAAGTCAATGGCACCGCAGCCACGGTCACCCTGCCCCACAGTGTGATTGCTCTCACCAGAACGCGTGGCACATCAATGCCTGTCTCCGGTCCAGTGTGATCAGCAAAAATAATTACAGCATAGCATGCAGAGTGCAGGGGCCAGGAGTATGTAGACTTGTGCGCCATCAAAAAAATCGTTCCGTTCCGGAATATCCGTTATTTCATAATTCGTGTCCGAAACTCAATTCGGATTCGTACGAAATACGAATTTTCGTTAGTTTCGGCAAATTTTCGTAACTTTACGAACATTCGTTATGATGAAGTTAAAAAGCAAAAATATCTTTGTTAATATTGGAGTCGATGTGGTAGTTGTCTTTTTATCCGAAATACGAATTCCGTTAACGGATTCCGCATCCGAATTTCGTATTTCGGATTTAAAAAAACTACCATCAACTCCAATATAAATGTACTTTGCTTTTTACCTTCAATATAACGAATGTTCGTAACGGAACGAAATTCCGTCAACGGAATTTCGTATTTCCTGCCTGTGTATTGTAATGCAACTCTCAGCAGCAGCGGATCCGTATTTCGGATTTAAAAAAAAATCTTGTCATGTTGTTCAACCTCATTTACAGGGGTAATATTAGTTCCTGTTTCAAAGAAATTCGGATCCGAAATTCGTTAACGGAATTAAAAAAAAATCTTGTCATGTTGTTCAACCTCATTTACAGGGGTAATATTAGTTCCTGTTTCAAAGAAATTCGGATCCGAAATTCGTTAACGGAATTTCGTATTTCCTGCCTGTGTATTGTAATGCAACTCTCAGCAGCAGCGGATCCGTATTTCGGATTTAAAAAAAAATCTTGTCATGTTGTTCAACCTCATTTACAGGGGTAATATTAGTTCCTGTTTCAAAGAAATTCGGATCCGAAATTCGTTAACGGAATTTCGTATTTCGCATATAATTCGGAAACTGCAATTCGGATTTCCGATGCTTCCAAATTTACGGATTTCAGGAAAATTCGTACGAATTTCGATTCGTAACGAAACGAATCGCACATGTCTAGGAGTATATTGCATACAGTATAGCATGCAGAGTGCAGGGGCCAGGAGTATGTTACATACCGTATAGCATGCAGAGTGCAGGGGCCAGGAGTATGTTACATACAGTATAGCATGAAGAGTGCAGGGGCCAGGAGTATGTTACATACAGCATAGCATGCAGAGTGCAGGGGCCAAGAGTATGTTACATACAGTATAGCATGCAGAGTGCAGGGGCCAAGAGTATGTTACATACAGTATAGCATGCAGAGTGCAGGGGCCAGGAACACTGTATGTATCATATGTTGGTGATCAGTAGGAGGAAAAAAATTCCCTGGGAATGGTGGTCAGTGGAAGGAAGATTGCCCCGCCATTGGTGGTCAGACCAGCAGAATCACCCCGTGTGAACCTCCATGTTTGTACACCAATAGATTGTAACAACGATCGCTCAGCGGCCAGATTGCACTTACATGACTGGCCACCGTCTAGCATTTGTAGGCGTCTGTATTGTGATGCTAATGGTGTCACCTTTCAGCCCATTCACAGGAACTGCCCTTTATAATGCCAATGTAGGATTGGGCAGGACTTGGATACTCCACAGAGATGTCAGAGTGAATGTGTTTGTATATTCCATTGCCTATGCTCATCCTAGCATGACATAACTATACTGTTTAAGAATATGAAATACAAAGCATGACCCAGTGATGGCACATCACACCCATGTAGCATCGGCCTGACTTTTGTATTGCTCTGGGACAGAAGAAAAAAAAATTACTTCAAAGTACCATAGAAGAAAATTAGTAAACAAGTTGTATGAAAGAAGGAGCAACACAGTGGGAGTGGAGCAAAAATAGAGGTTGGGGATGACAAAGGAGAAGCAAAATAAAAAAGTTATAGACAGCAAAAAGCGTGTGAGCGAGAGCGAGAGAAGGAAAGAAGAAAAAGAAAGAAAAAGAAAGAAAGAAAAAAAGAGAGAGAGAGACTTTGCTCAACCTATAATAATTCATCTATTCATAATTAAATGAAAATCTGACACACAGCAAATATTCGATGTAACATAAATATTTGGAAAGACTTTTTGCTGTGTACCGACTCATTTAATTTAAAGTGACACTAAACTCGGGAGTTAAATCAAGTACACTTACTATGAACAACAATGTATCTTATTTGGAGGGCCGTCTTTAATACTGATTGGACCCTGGGCAAACATTTTCTTGGGCCCCCCACTAGCTCCAAACTCGCTCCCGGAATGGACTACAATCTCCATACAAATCAGTAGATTAAACATCAGATTGTAGTCCATCCCAGGAGTGAGCTTGGAGCGGTGACTACTTTACAACACACACAGGGACCATGGGGAACAAGAGTAATCACTCTCCAGATGGAAGGACAGTGTCAGCACCAATTCAGAGATGATTGGAGGATCTACAGCTGAGTGATACACAAATAAGTTACATTGTTGTTAATAGTTAAGGGACTTGGGTGTATTTTGAAGATTTATTTCCTGATTTTCTTGTCACTGTCACTTTAGCTTGGCTGAGCACTACTGGTAGTGAGTTATCTAATAGGCACAATAGGCAGGGAGGTTTAGTGGTTTTAATTTGTTTAATTTGCCAATAAAACGTATTTGAGTTTATAAGAGAGAGAGCAATTAACTGTGGGAGAGTGTGTGTGAGAGAGAGAGAGAGAGAGAAAGAGAGAAGATGGGGGCAGACAGTGAGCAGTGAGATAGAGATGAAGAGACTGGGAAAGTTCTGAAGATCCAGTTGATTCCAGTTCAGTTTTTCAGTATTTGGTCACATATAAATGTTTGCTCGGCTTGTCATGGAATGCTCTTTGGCAATCTGTCCGATCTTTATTGCGCACACAACTCTTATGGCACAGATAAAAGATAGATCTGACAGTACACAATGTCATGATCCAGGTGCAAGAACAGATATTTTCACCGAGATAGGAGACAGAAAGAGACAGATTGTATATCTTCTACTAGCGTGTTATCTGATGTTAAGTACAAAGTGATCCATATCTTGTGCACAGCACACGCTGAGCCATATCAGGAGCTAAATATGTGTTGTGCCCTATGTGGTACATGCAGAGCCATAAGTGTGTTTGTTGTCACTTGTTCTATTCCTAACTCCATCCTTACAAGACTCTCAAAATATATATATTTTTTAATATATATTTAAGAATTGGACCTTTCAGTAGAGTTTTATCATCTCTTTTTTTTTTTTTTGGGATGGGCTCCCAGTGGGGGGGAAGGGTTCCTTTAATATGTTTTTAATAAATTTGGTTTGAACATTGATCAATGGTAAGATAACTAAAAAAAAAGAGGATTGTAAACCCCACGTGCATTGCTTGTACCGAGGATTAAAGTCTGATTAAAGAAAGATTAAAAATGACCCACTTTGTTGAGTTTTCTGCGATGGAATAACATCACCCCTACAGAATCCTTACAATGTGATCCCAAGTCTTGTACAAGTGTCATATAAATGAACATTTATGTGAATGGATCTCATTCCTTATTTTGTTTCCTTTCTCTTCTTCAGGCTTTGATGTAGCCATTCTATCTGATGCGGAATGTTGTGACTTTGTCAGCTGCTATTTAAGAACAAAAGACAAACAGTTGTGTAGGTAAGGCATTCCATGTGGCTACACTTACCCATGGCTGCACCCAATAGCTGCACAGTTCCCATTGGGCACACTGGATACTTCAAGAGGGTGTTGATCCTTAAAGGAGAACTATGGGGTAAATGTTTGTCCCCATAGTTCTCTAGCGTCCTCCCGTGACCCTAAGGTCAGCATATCGCAAGCTACAGCTGGACGTATACTGAGATCGCCGCAGCCGAGACAGATCCCGACATTAGTGTCGAGATTCACCCAGCTGCGTGATTGACAGCTGGCTCTGCCTATCTAAAGGCAGAGCCAGCTGTACCCGCCCCCTCCCCCGTCCGTTCCGCCAGTCAGCGATGGAGGATCGGAGCGGGTAGGGGGGGAATCCCTGCAGGGAGCCGTGAGTGACAGTCTCGGCTCTCTGCAGGGACATGATCGAGAAGTGAGCAAGAGACGGTATGTGTTCGCTCACTTCCCGATCTATGGAGCCGAAGTTTCATTGTCACACTTCGGCTCGAACTATGAGAATGAGTGAAAATCACTCACCTCATAGTTCGCCTTTAACGATGTGACTCCCATTAGAAAACAAGTTTTTCCGAACAAAATTGTACTGATTGACGGCCGGCTTTAGGGTGTCAATTTTCCTCTAACTGGATAGGCTGCGTCCTCATGTATATAAAACGTCAATTTTCCTATTTTAAACAAAAAAAAGCTAGACTGTAAACCTTTCACCTTTTCACTGGAAAAGGAAGGATCCTTTAAGCCTATAGTCAATGTAACTGTCAGTGTAAGCTTGGTGTATTTTTTAGATAATTACTAAAATACTTCCTTCCTGTCAGCTCAGTTCAGGTCAATGAAACTGCACAAAGATCCGGGGATTAGTACATTGATCCAAGTACGG